GGCAGTTCTGGGGGCATTGGCGACATCCCAAGCGGAATTGGACAGCATCCTGATGGGCCCGTTGGAAAAGGGCTTCAAGATGAGCGAGAGCAATGTCTTGAAGCTGGACGCTCTTCGCGTGCCGGTGGACGTGCGCTCCTTCGCCACGTGTGGAAGCAATAACAGCAGGCACCGGCGCCTGTGGCGCTTCCCGCTTCGTCCAAGGAGCTGGGCTGGGTGATGGTCGCAACCAGTGGCTAAGTCGGGGTGCCGCGCAGGTTCCCGCAGCAGCTACTTGTGGGGGCAGAGACAGTCCGTGAGGGTGGTGTGTGAGGCCAAGAATGCTTGTCACACTGCTGTCCTCTTGCATGAATTGGTCCAAGCAAGATATTTCACATCTTCAGGAGAGCCCAGCCCTCTTCACAAAGACCGCAAGAAGAGCAAGTCCAGCCCCATCCTCACATTGAATGCCGAGAATCAGCTAGAGGCGGAGACTGAGTCCCGTGGCAGCCCAAATCCGTGCTCGCGTTCCTCGATTGCCTGGAAGCCATCAAGCACGCGATGATCTTGATCGAACTAGGCCCCGAGAAGGATGTCTGCCAGTACATCGAATGGTTCGGCAAGCAAGCCAGATCGCGGCCGCAGCGGATTGAGCAGTTCAGAACTGGGAGACCGCGCAGGCAGTCCACGACATCCTGCTGGGCACGCAATCTTTGCAGGAGGCAGTCAACAAGGAAATTGTGACCGAGAAGCCTGCGAGGAAAATTGGCAAGTATGAGTACCAGGACAAGACGCCTTTTTACAATGCCTGGAAGGCCGATGGCAAGAAAGGGAAGGGCAAAGGCAAGAAGGGCTCAGGCAGGCCCTTCAACGACAATCCTTGGCGCCCTGAAAACTCTTGTAATGACTGGGGGCGAAGTTGGGCATCTTCACCCTCGTGGTCCAACACGACTTGGCAGCGTGACAGCGATCAGGAGAAGTTGGTTGCCTGGGAGGACAGAGACAGCCACAAGGAGTAGGGACAGCGCGGGCCACGTGACTCAGGTGGACCCGGCCGCATTCGCTTGACACAAAACCCGGAGCCTTGAAACTCCCGAACTCAGCACTGCCAGTGCCGATTCAGCGCTGCAGATTTCTGGAGCTTAGAAGGGCTTAGCAGTGCAGATTCAGCGCTTCAATTTAGCACTGCTGCAGTGCTAAATCGGCACTGCGATTCTGCACTGCTACAGAAACTCTATTCCTGGGAATTTCAAGATTTTAGGGTTGTAAGCTAGTTGCTATCGCCTGCAATCTTCTGATTGAGCACCAGCAGTTTACGAACAGCCCCCTGTTTGTCTTGCCTTGCTGACATTTTTTGATTCGCAGAAGCATTTCGGTTCAAGTGACTTGCCAGCGTGCTGCTCACCAGTGCTTGCAGGTCAGGCCGCCTGAAAACACCTGCTAGTGAAGCTAGCTTGCCAGAAGATGGCAGCCTTGGTGCTGCAGCTTCCTTGCCTGCAGTCTCGCCTGGAGGCAAGTCCTGCTTGCCTGCAGAAGGCCTGCAGGCGCTGCGGCCTGAGCAAGTCTCAGCTCTGGCAGCAACCTTGCGAGGTTGCTTTGTGGGCCGAGCTATGAGCGAGAAGCTTTGGAACGGCACTTACTTGGAACTTGCAGAGGCGCACCAAAAGTTTCTGTGCTATGTATGTATGTATGTATGTATGTATGTGTTTACGTACGTATGTTTGCATACATGTATGTATGAATCAAGGAAAATTTCAGAATGCCCCGTGCGGGAGCATAATTTTCACTAAGATTATCAGGACGCTCCGCACGGGAAAGCGGCTTTGAACAAAAGAAATTTCAAGATGCTCCGCGCGGGAGCGCGATTTTCTTCAAAATTTTCGGGATGCTCCGCACGGGAGCACGATTTTCTTCAAAATTTTCAGGATGCTCCGCACGGGAGCGCGATTTTCTTCAACATTTTAAGGACGCTCCGCACGGGAACGCGATTTCATTCAAAACTTTCGGAATGCTCCGGGAGCGCGATTTTGAACATTTTGACCGACGAAGTCAACACAGGCTGTACCAAAGCAATACCGGCAGTCAAAGGTACTCACTCTCCTCCGGACCGCGATGTTGAACGAAGAAGAGGAGCTTGAGCGGAGTAATCAACCCAGTATAGAATCAGTATATATAGCACAGTATAGCATCCACGGACTTAGTCGCTCAGTTTTAGAAGGACCGAGTCGCAAAACATATATCGAAGCTTTACCGGAAAGCTCCGCTCAAGACCGCCCTTTCGAGCCAAGAAAACCACCTCGAGCGAAGTACACCGGCATTCGTTCAGTATAGCTCCAGTATTAAACTTCTTCGACATCATCGGTCATGAATGATCAAACTTTTCCGAATGCTCCGCACGGGAGCGTCATTCTGATAGAAATTGATGAAGATAAATCGACGAAATTTCGAGGATGCCGCGCACGGGAGCGCGATTTTTGAAAATATAAAGACCATAAAAACGCAAAAAATCGATTGTCTCGAGCGGGAGCGCGATTTTTGAGTAAGCAAAAAAAGAAATTTTCAGGATGTCCCGCACGGGAACGCGATTTTCGAGAATCGGGGCGCGACGCGTTCAGTTACAGGCCCTCTAGCAAGACTACTTTAAAGGCAGAGCGGCCTATTCCTTAGATGGAAAAGCAAAAGAGAACGACGATTTTTTGAGGATGCCCCGAGCGAGAGCGCGATTTTTTAACGATTTAGGGCACGCCCAAAATGTTGGCGCGACAGAAGAGCACGCAGGCATGGCGGCGACAGTGCATCGACGCAATTAGAACCCCGCGGTGAATGTGGGGAATAAAAGCAATAAATGGTACTGAGGACTGAGGATAGCAGTAGTACTAACAACATGACGATAAGAGTTATTCACTAATGGGTACATTACTATGCCACTATGCTTTGATAACAAGCATAAGAATAAACGTGATAGCAAGAAAAGTACCTAATAATACTAATTGTCAGAATAGCATTAATACGAAATCATAGGAATACGAATAGCACAAATTAGAAATACCAGTCACAAATTGCAATGATAGTACGAGTAATAATAGTGACACGCAGAATGATGGTCATACTTCGAATAAGATTATTGGAAATATTAGCAATAGTAATAGTAACCGTAATAGTACGAATATTGATAAGAATCTTAAAGAAAAACATTAAGGATATATAAATTTAAAAATATCCCCCCCCATCCGTAAACCCTGACCCTTAAACAATCCAGGAAGCCAAGAAGCCAAAAGGCCAGGTCCCTCCAAAATAGCCCTTTCTCCCCGATTCAGGGGCATGCATATTGGCTACGTCTCAAAAACAAGCCCAGCGCATACATTCAAAGGCAATGACAATAATGACATTTATGCACAGTGCGACTGCCGCTGCAACGTTCCAAGGCGACGACAGTGACGAAGATGGCCATCCACGGGGCCCCGGCACTTCTGATACACTACGCAACAACAACGGTCCATATCTTCACACACGACGCAGCAGCGACTGTCCAAAAACGACGTCGGCTGCAAGGATGGCAACTCCGAGAGGCCCCATCCCTTTGACTACAGGTGTTGGCACCGTTAACATGCGACGGGTCCAAAAATTACGACAATCAGGAACATAACGAACCTGAGGAGCCCTATCCTTGTGGTTGTTGGCACGTATGACAGACGACTCAGCAAAGAAGGTCCAAGAGCGATGACACATGCCAGGATGGCGACACCGAGGCAGTTTTTGCACCTACAAAATTGCATATGTGTAGTTTGCCTGGGGCGTTCGGGCTCTTGGGGCCTTGGAGCTCTTTCGCAAAGTATTAGTTTTTACACGGGATTCATGGTGTAGTGAAAAGCATACTCTCTCAAAATTAGTGCGTTTGAGCAGGGGATGGCTAGAAAATACAGCGTCTGGCAGCATTTCGTACACATGACTCTTAGGAGCTTTAGACAACCCCAGAAAGTAGTTTGGGCAAACGAAGCCGTCAAACACTTTTGAGCAGATTGCTCCGAGAGCTTCCATCATGTTCACGTCCTCCGGCAGACTGTGCCGCAAGAGGATCGAGTGCACATAGTCCAAGACAGGTTCATGGCGTAGTGTAAAACATAATCGCTAAAAAACAGTTCGTTTGAACGCGCAAAGGCCGTTTGCTAGCATGTCGTACACATATGCTTAGGAGGCCTTGGGAACCCAGAAAGTAGTTTGCGCAAACGAAGCCGTTCAACATCTTTTTGCAACATTGCTAGAGCATGTTTGCCACTATTCCCCCCGCCCAGCCCACGAGTCAATCGCGAACACTTTGTGGACACTTGCGGAGGCTTTGCAGACGTTCGCCAACATGCGCGCAACCATTCTGGTCACGTCTGGCCATGTCCTTGACTCTGGAGCCCCAACACTTACAACGAGACCCCATCTGCTACGCATTCGGGAAAAACACATCTTCCAAGAACATTACACCTGCCAAAACTTGCTAACGACCTAACAAGCCAAAGCTGTTCAGACATCAAACATCTACAACACCCAAATTGTGACAACATTCAACACGAGAATTCCTGAATTTGAAAGAACCCTTAAAAAGTCAGCCGCGCACCTCAGCACCTTTCAACACCTTTAGACAGAAACTGTTCAAGCCCAAGAACAAACCTCGCCACGACGAATTTCACAACACAGAAGTTGGATGCTCTTCAGAGGCGTAAATAGTCCAGGAACCATACATTCTCTTGAAGCACAGGAGCCACGATGGTTTGGAGTTGCCCGAAGGCTGCCAAAAAACGAATTGCAAATTTGATGAGTTCCAGCTCATACATGAATGTCAAGCATATTCAGGAATGCCCGTACTAGATGGAATCAGAACATCGTTGAAATATTCGGAGGGTCATTCGCAAATGCAGCAGCTAGAGTCTTGTGACGAATCACAACGCATTCCGGCCGCAATGTCTTGGGTGAAGAAGTCTGCCTGTAAAACATGCACTGAGGGCAAAATTTCAGAAATTGCCGCGTTGCAGGGGTTCCATGCAGCCTCTGCATGGCGCTCAGCACATTGGGACGATGTATTGCCGAAATGGCATTTATGCCTAGCAGCTGTGGTCTCGTCCATGTTTTCACGTTCATGGACGTTGCATGGCTCCTGGCTGCACATAGGCTGAATGCAATCTCAAACCGCAGTTGTTTTTTGTGGTTTTTCTTCTTTGGGCACACTTGTTTCTTAAAGCTTGCCTGGAGAGCTTAGCCTGGTCAAAGAGGCATGAGATCTGGAAAGGTAGAGGCACGGAAAGTGTTAGAGGTTGGCTGTCCGCTCCAGGACAGAGGCTCGCGCACCTTGTTGAGTTGTAGAGCTCTGAATAGAGCGCTTCCCCTGGAGTGCTGGCAACGCTAGTCTTCCAAGAGGCTCAGATAGACTTTCAGGAAAGTGTTTGACGGTGGTGCCCCATCCAAAGTTACTCGTGTCCAGCCCTGCTAGGAAGTTCGCTTTTGCAATGCGAAAGAGACGGCCCTGTTCGAAGCTTTGGAAACAAAGACCATAAAGTATCGCCTGGCATCATAAACGTTATAGACTTTGCTTCACTATGCCTGGCAGTCTCCTTGCATGATGGCAAGGTCCCCTCTCAACGGCGAACTGCCCGCGGCCGATTGTCACTTCCATTACGCCTCCAGCAGGAGCATCCTCAAGCTGCCTTGTGCAGTTCGCGCAAAGCATTGAATGTTGAGAACCTTCCGTGTCAGATTTTATGGATGATGCGCATTTGTGTACTGCCACCGGCCCATGGTCAGCTTTCGAGCGTTTAGCCTTGTGCGTCAAAAACTAAGGGCCGGAACTGTGTTGTAGATCCTGGAATGTTGGGGATAGTTTGCATGCTACCCAGAGCCTGCTGCGCAGATGCCTTATTGGGCTTTGGTGAGCTGGGCTACGACCTGACAATTTCCTTTGCAGCTGGGCTGAATCCTCTCTGCCCAGTGGTTGAGGAGGTGGGGTCGGATTACAGGGTTATTCTTTCTCAGGTTGCAGCACAGGGAAGTCTTTTCACGCTCTACCGAGCTGGTAAGAACATAGACCATGAAGATGAAGCCTCACATCTCAGCAGAGTTCCTTGCACTGGTGCAGCTGCTACTGCAGATAAAGCTGTTGAGTGCCCTTGCCCGCTCATGCAGTGGGCGCGGGGTTGGTTTGTTGTCGATTGCAGGCTGATTGTCATTCCGTATGTGCCACAAACGAAAGGATGCATAGCTTGTAGCCTTTGCAAAACACTGTGCGAAAGCGAAAGGCATGTCCAACGCATCGATTCTGAAACACATTCTTGCTTGAGCCAAACAGGTCAACATTGTTTTGCCTTATGGTGACCTGACTGGTGTGTTCACAGGCCATGTGAGTAATGGCATCTTCCCAGGCCTCATTGCTTTGGAGCACTTTTGCATGCAGCCTGTGCAAGAACAAAGCAGCTTGAGAGAACAGCCAGCCGAAGCCTTACATTCCGAAGACTCTTCGGTGCAGATGCTTCGGTGCGTGTGAGGATGAAAAATGAATGTATGACAGCCAGAGGACAACAGCACTGCCCCTCTGTAACAACTGAACAAGGAGTCGGCCGCCGTAATAGCATCTTCATGTCAACCTACGCGTGAAGTTGCGAAATGACTATCCATCACATCCTTTAAGCGTTTTCTATAGGGGTCGGATGCGGCAAAAGGAAATCTAGGGGATCGAGCCTTAAATTTTGCCATTAATCAGTTCTTCATCAAAGCCCGAGTCTCCCCGCAAGCCTCATACATTCTAGAGACATACACATTCATGCCTTATCATGGTTCGTCAGAAATCTTGAAGCTGGCCCCTCTCTGAAACCAGGATAGACCGGTCCGCTTTCCACGACCCAGCGACACAATCGTTGGAAATATGCCTGGAGCTCATTGATCAGAGGTGCAAAAAGCCTGATGCTGTGGAAAGCATCGCCGTCGGTCCAATTGTTTTCGCACTGCTTCCAGGAGCTCACACTGAGGAATTCATTGTTCAAACTTGCTGTTGCGCCATGTTGCGCACCTTGCATCCAAGATATCTGGACTGCGAGCTGGAGGCCCAGATGTGGACGGGGATCCGGTGGAACATTCGCAGCCTCAAGCGTCAAAGACAGCAGTATCCATATATCAGTGGAGGTGCAGTCAGGCAAAAAGCATCAGGGTTTCGCTCATCCTTCTGCCAGGAGGGGCAGTACCTTCCCTGGGATGCGCCGCAAGGTGCCACACTGCGCATTGAGGCGAGGCTCCAAGACAAATTCTTCTAAATTTCTCCCCCACGTAAGGCTGGATCGCAGAGAAGCCACTGAGATTATTCAGGCTTGAGGGCGCAAGAATGATATGATTCGTTAAGCAATACCGAACACTGGAAATCGAAGCTAGAAACTTTCCGTGATGTGTCTCTTTCAGCTTCCATCTATAGGGCAGACTAGCAATAAGATTGTGCGTTTGCCCGTTTTGCAGCTAAATGTGGATTGTTGTACATGTGCTCCAGAAAAAAGGGCCCCTATCAGCTGTGACAGTGGAAGGTTCCTGCGGCGAAGCGTATCATCCTGAGTGGTGGACTCCAGGTACGCAGGCCACTAAGAATTCTCTGGCACGCCTTGCGAGGAGAGACTTCTCGAGTATGAGGAATGCTGTGAGTGCTTCCTCATGCAAGCTACAATCAACGTCCAGAGACATCCTCAGCAAGAATCTATGGTGCAGCAGCCGAATTTCAGGTCTGCAGCTGAGCCTCGGACCAAGCGATGACCCGACAGGGTCATTCTGAGAGTGCTTGTGGCTGGTGGTCTTGCATTATTTGCTCGAACGCGGCTGTTGCTGCGCAATGCTGCGCAGAAATATTGAGTGTACTACCATACATGCCCGCAAATTCAATTAGGAAGAGGCAACCACGTGTCAGTGTGAAGGCCAACTTCTGCACAGATTGCACATGATTGCTGAAGTCTACTTCTGCGATCCTCGAGATAATCCCTGCTGAGGCAACCACTCCTTCTGGTCTCGTTTCGAGCTCAGCCTGACATGGAGTATGGAAATCCTGTGAACGAGCTTCAAAATCTGCCATGCTACTTCTCGCCCAGATTGCAGCTCAGGATACCTTTGCACCCTCAACATTCAGGATGGAGCAATGGCAGCGGCCCAAATGTTGAGCGACGGCTTCACATGATTTCACATGGTTTTGGTTCGGCTTCATTTCGGGGTTGTCTTGCACCATCCTCAATTTGGTTGCGCGCCAGTGCGGATGCTTCGTTCAAAGTGGCTGGCTGCCAGCCTGGCCTGCGCGCTACAGGATGAAACTCATGCGACTGAGTATCGAATCTTCGCAAGGACATCATGAGGAGACTGACCGCCACCGAAATGCTAACCCAACAGACCTGCCGCGGTTGGCTTGTCTGCCGACCGATGCGTAGAGTAGCAAACCCGCATCCCATGATGCGCTACTGACACATCTCTTTGGATTTTTTGCCCGGAAGCGCGAAGGGTCATCCAGCGTAGGATCTGAGCATTGCAGTCGTGAACCTGTCAAGGCCCCCCCCCAACAGACTTTGCACTTCATCAACTTCCCGCATCGGATATCTATCTAAACGGCAAGCCTTGGCAGATACGGCTCCGGCAGGTGGACGTGGTCGAGGATGTTCCCTGTGTTGCGGCGAGTTGGCACCGGGCAGGGCCCTTATCTGCAGGCTGACAATCGGTGCATACGGACCTGAGGCCCGGCTGGTGACAGACCCCCTCCCTTCCCGTCCCCCCCTGCTGCTTATGACATCGTATTTGGAGATGGCTTTGTGCTGGGCATGGGGCCATGCGACCCAAGGCCGCAATGAGCGAGAGCCTCAGGAGATGCAGCGACATATGGCGTGTTTCCTCCAACTCTTATATCGAAGTTCTGTCTAGCTTGCGAGCAGGGCACCCCTTGCCGTACTAAGCCATCCGATCCCTCCCTGATACCATGCAGGAACCAGCGAAAGTGCCTCAGCACCTGAGGCGACAACGTTGGGCCACTTGCCACAACCATTACCCCGCAGACTGGCCTACGCGACGTAGCCCTCGATACTGCAGACGCTTGGCTTGCGTTTGCGGTCTGCCATGGTTTGCGTACCAGAAGAAGGGAGTCTAAAGGGAGTCGGGGGGTCTTGCCGTCTGCAGCTGCATGGTGTGGCATATTGCACTGTATTGGACCTGTAAGCAAACGCAGTGCACCTGGCAAACATCCAGGACGAGAAAGGCAAGCTGGCAAGCCGCTTTGATGGGCATTGCGGTCCCACATGTAGGCAATGTAGGCAATCCAAGCATGCCTTGACTGCAAGTATTTGGTACTGTGCAGACGAAAGCCGCACAGGGCATGCTGGTACTTGTATTGGGGAAGGCAGTTGATCCAAGAATACACCAGACAGTTTAAATCCTGATTTAACTGCCCCAAAGGTAGGTTGATCAAGGTACCTAAGGAGAACATTTAAATCATGATTGAAAATTCAATAACTTCTGGATCCATTGCTTTTCCTTGTATTGGTTGCGGCACCGCACTGCCTGTCACCGATGTGCCACAGCCGTCAAGCACAGATAAAAGCGATTGGAACTCGTCAAACTCGTGGAGTTCTGGGGCGGAGCTGGCCAGGCAGCCCGAAGTGCTCGGCTGGCGGGGAAGCACAATGAGCTTCAAAACCCTCGGCACTGGAGGCACCAGGTGAGTGGAAACAACTTTTCACGTAAGGCTGCGGAAGCTACAGTTGCACTCGCGGAAGCTGTCATGCAAACGTAGCTTTGACGGCATACTCGCCGAAGCGTTGCGGAAGGGGGCGGAAGGGTGGATGGAAGCGATCGTTCCCGCCTGGAAACCGCATAAAGGTGCAGCCTGCGTCCTGCCAAAATTGCGCCACGACTTCAGTCCACAGCACCTATTATCAATGTAATGACAGAGGCTGTAAGCAAAATGAGACTGAAGTCTGTTTTGGTAGTGAGCGTCATGACTTCGAGTGCTACTTGCGGATCGTGGGCGTGATGAAAAGGGTGATCGGGGGGTTAACCAGGATTGCAGGGCCGTTCTAGGTCTGGACAGTAAGAGGTAGGGAAGAACATGCCCACTTTGCAAACAATGGCGGGAGAGAAATTGGAACCAACCTGCGAATGCAAACTTATTGGTTTCCAGCTAGTTCGCCTAATGAGGGCCTAATGTTGTTTATGCATAGCGAGATGACGCACCCAAACCACAAGACAAAGCCCTCACAATCCGTTCTCCAGCCTACTACAAGTGTGCACTTTGCGCTCTGCCGCAATAGGCCCAATGTGACGGGCTGAGGGGAGTGCAAAGCTAGAAAACAGCCGGCCCTCCAAGGTCTGCAAGTCTGCAATAAGCAGCTACATACGCATCGCATTATGTGATTTGTCTGAGAGTCTTCGAGGACTCTTTGACCAAACCATGCATCAGCTGTAAGGAAGCTACGATCAAGTTCAACGAGCCTGTTTTTCTCATGCTGCAGGAGGCCGTTCTGGAACCTTGCCAAGGGCTTAGGATCATTTTTCTGTCAGCTCCGAATCCACACGGGCATGGCTTAAGCAATGCGGGCAGACCTTGGCTAGCTGTTGATGATTCTGCCCGGGATTTGTGCTTGCTCAAAACTGTTTTAACCTTCTTTTGTGGCACCCGGTGTTCCTTTGGTGATTGCATTAATCATAGCCGCCCAGCTGCTCAAGCATTCAGTGTGGAACATTCATCTGAAAGTTTTTTTTTCACGTGTGAGCTTGAGTTATCGACCCTTGAGGTGACGTGTGTTGTCTTGACGTATTGCGATTGTTTCAGCTAAACATTTTTGCTGGTGTCATCTTACTTTCTAGGACTGCTTACAGGCCGTGTAGGTGCGAACATATGCGATGGACCCTGCTTGCGACACGCAAATGCAACAGCAGTGCGATCTGGACGACAATTCTGTTACAGAGGTTTCAGGAGAATCGGCAGATGAGCAGTACTTGGAAGATACTGCAGACCCAAGTGGTTTGTCAGTAATGCCGGATCGCCTGGATTCGTGCTGCAGCCTTGCTGCATCGCAGTCCTTGCCTGATTTCTGTCTGGCAGACTTCGGCATAGTAGTGGATGAGGATGTGTCTCAGACCTCGCCGGCACCTTCATCGTGTCCTTTGGGCTCAGTGTACCCTCAGCTTCGTGCTGTGCAGAATCTCGCTCCGACTGCTCTCTGTCTGCCTTTTGTGCCTGACTCGGAGACTGCCCGTGTGGCTCAGACAGGCCAGGTGTCAGACCCTGTGGTGTTAATGACAGCACTCCCGAAGACTGGAGTGCAGGCTAGGATTTTGCCACCTGCCTGGCGGGGGCGGCATGATGTTGAGGGTCGGGGGTTTATTGCTCTTCCGCAAACGGTGCCCAAGCGTTCGTCTGAGCCTGTTTCCGGCGAGGCAAGGCCTCTCTTGCGACCTCCTCTGTTTGCGGCAAAACCTTTGAGATCGGAGTCTGGGATACGAGGGTATGGGCCTGTCAGGCCTAGCGTGCAGTTGAGCAACAGATGGACGCCCTGCCCAACACGTCGGGAGCGTCAAGCTCTTGCGCCTCATGTTTCCATTCTTAGCCCTAGGGCTCTAGTTGCTCCCCTTGCTAGACCCGTGATCCGCCCTAGGTTCATGCAGACTTATCCGGAGCATGCGCCGTTGCCGCGGCCAGTTCGCAGTTCAAATGGTCATCATGCTCGTAGACCTTTGCACCGTGTCCCGTTAAAGACATGGTGCCGGCCATGCCCCATAGCTTCCATCAGTCTCAGCCTTCAGACGCGCCGACTCCGGCGCAGACTTCCTCAGCGCGTGTGGCGCAGCGTGCAGATGCGGTTGGGGCGGTGCAGCCTCGCCCCCGAAGCCTCCTGCCGGCCAGCTTCAGCAAGTAATTTCTCAGGCAGATAAGCACAGGGAAGATTGGGACAAGGTGTTTGTTATGTGGGATGAGTTGAGGGAATTCCTTTGCTCCCTCTCTTCTGCGTTGCAAGAAACAGCCGCATCATCCCATCCGCTTAAGTTGGAGCGGGCGCTCTTGCAGAAGTTGGCTGACACTGCAGCGTCCAGGTACCTGGCCATTTTGCTAAGTTTTTGTCAGCGCACTCAGGAGTCTGAAGTTGATTTGTCTTCGTGTAGGGCAGTAAGCCTGCTTGATCTAGTATACTCTATGCAGTCGGGCCCCAAGTTGATTATCCACTCATGCAATACTCTGAAGACGCTTCCCTGGGTGTCCAAGACCTTTCTGGTGGAGCTGCGTGCCTGGAGCCCACTCATGCCGGTGCTCGAAGCGGGAAGAGATGGGCAACGCCGTGAGGCACTTCCGTTGCCTCCTTCTTTCATGCTGTATTTGGAACGTCGTGTGTTGGATGTGAGCCTGGATGCCAGTAGCCGCATTTTCTCTGGATCTGTTCTTGTGGCAACGATGTCTAGCCTTCGTTTTTCAGATGCGCAGCATGTGCGCTAGAGTACCATGTCCCTAGCAGGCCAGGTGTGGCGGGGGGTGGTCTACCTAAGCAAAACCTCACGCTAGGGCATCATTCCCGCAGACGAACCGAGTAAGTCTTGGGTTAGGGTTTGGCTTCATCTGTTAGGGGACATTTGGGATGCCTTTCCTGCCTTTGAGCCGGATGTACTATTCTTTAGCCATGATGCCTCCAGCTTCTGTCCTTTGAGCTACTGCAAGACTTTAAGGTTGTTAAGGACCCTCTTGGTGGATTCTGTCCTGCGTTGCGATCCCTTTAACATATAGCTTTCACAATATGAAGACTTCGGCTCTTGCGGCTTTAGTTCAGTTGGACCTGGATGAGCCTGCTCGCAAGTTGCAGGGGCATCACCGCGTGAGCAGCGTGACTCTGTATGGCAGGGATGACGTGAGTGGAGCCGTTCGTGCGCAAGTCAAGTTCTTGAATGCTCTGCGGAATGGTTTTGTCCCTGTCACTCCGATAGGACGGGGAGGCCAGGTTCCCATTCCCTCAGATAGCTTGGATCTCACTCCTGTTGCGGGAGCACCCGTGCCGGAGCACCCAAGATTCTCTTACGTGCCGGAGCATCAGGTTTTTTCCGAAGGGGCCGCTGTGTTGCCTGTGCCTGTTCAGGCCGCAGCGTCTGATGGCGCATCTTCTTTTCTTGAAGAGTGTGATGTTGAGCCGGATGAGGACCCTCAGGATTGGGGGCAACTTGATGAGCTCACGTTTGTTCGGATGGCTGGGGTATTCCATTTCGTGATCCAGAGGGCGTCAGGCTCCTCGGGGGCAGACGGACCAATTTCGCACTGCCTGCGGATGTCTAGTCGCGTCAAGTTGCTTGGTGGATAACCCAGCTCCGAACTCTAGGCTGTGCGTGCGCGGGGGCTGCCGTGCTGGGCTATAAGGTAGGCTCTATCCCACGATCATGGGGCGTGTCAGTTTCTTGGTGAATCTGATGGAGGAAGTCCACACCCGTGTGGCATTAACTTGTCTTCGCTCATTATTTGACAAGTTGCTTCTGTCTGGCAGGTCCACATCTGTGTGATGTGGCGGGAAGTCCACATCCTGGTGGCGTGGCCTATGGGCATGTTGTTGGGCAGCGTGCCCTGTTCCTTTAAACGGGCGTCTGGCCCGAGGTGGGTCCCTGACCCTGCGCACTCGGTATGCTCTGGAACGCATTTTGCGTCCAGGATTTGGGCTCATCGAGCTTTGAGTGAAAAGATGCGGGTCATTGCGTGACCATGCAGGCATTGATGTGAGACCGCGAGTAGACTTGACATCTGTATTCCCTACGAATCTACAAGTGTGCGTTTAAATTTCATTATTAGTCTAGGTTGAGTTGAGCTGTTCAATTTATAGAGTGGTAATAGACATATGGTTAGCGGCGCGTAAGCGATGAAGTTGTGTTTCGTGTTGTGCTCCTTGCGTTTGCAAGTGTGCTTGGCTAGGGTGGAGAATGCCCCGAATCTACAGTTTCTTATTTGGCTTGTGGATGCTATCGAAACGCACGTAACCTTGTACACGTTGTGCTTGCGCTTGAATTGTTTATCAGAATTGAGCCGAGCTGTTTGATCTCCAGGGTGGTAGCGGTCGTGTGGTCAGTCTATGCATGAGTGTGGTTATGTGAAACGTCATACCTATTGTGTGTGCGTGTGTGTGGAGGCTAATTTTTGAGCAGTTGGTTTGTTTGCAGTAGTGCGGTAGCGCCTGGTGTGATAGATCCTTTGATCGACTGTCTATCTTTGGAGTGTGGGAGCGGCGTTCGCCTCCACGTGCGTAGCAGGTAGGATCATGTCGCACGTAAACCCTTCGGAGCATGAGCAATGGCCACTCATGCTCACGGATGACAGTCCATTAGATGAGGGTGGGTGTTGGGGCTTTCCCCCAGCGCCGACAGCTGTGTCTAGCTGTTCCATGCAGGAGCTCTCAGTAGAGGCTCAGACCCCGCCTGGACTGCGCCACCAGTTCTTGCGTTTCAGCCCAGCCGAATTTGCGCTAGTTGCGGTTGATCTGGAGGACCTGCGTAAGTTTATTGACGAGCTTGTCTTCCCCCCAGACATGTCCCATCTCAGATTCTGTTGGTTGCGCGTGTTCGTCTGCGTGTGGCGCAAATGCCAGAAGCTTGACCTGCCATCCTCTTCCGAGCCCAAGCCCGAGCTGTCCGTGAAGTCCACTGAGCTGTTTTGAATGGTTGGTCGCAGCTCTTTCCTTCCTCAGGAGGTGAGAGAAATGAAGCAGAGATTCAGCCAAAGGTATTCCTCAGAGCCTCTGTCGCCAGAGAATATGCCCGGGCCCCGCCTTTTGTCCAACGTGTTCAAGTGAAAAGCGCTGGAAATTCATACCATGGAAGATCAGGTTAAGCGAGGACCGACATGATGCGCGCGTGGCCGAAAGACCCCATAAAATGCCGCGACTTGACCTTTCGGCAGTGGATGACGTGCCGCAGACAGACTTGAGTCTTCAACACATGTCTTGCACAGTGGCGCAAGAAATCTTGGATCTGCGCGCGACGGCTATTGCCTTGGTTGGGGGTCGCCCATTTTCACACCCTTTGCGAGATGAACCGTCGTTTCCTGGCCAAAGCGTTCGAGCGCTATGGCAGCGACACGGGCCTGCGATGCCCGAACCACGCAGAAGCCATGCAGGCTGATCAGAAGATTTGGCAGAGCATCAGCGCCCTATTAATGATGAGGGTTGGTGCGTGGAAGACGCCATTCATGAGGTTGTTGTGGTTCGCAACGAGATTGCCACCCTGCTGATGCCTAGACCTACTCCCCACAACTTAAGTTGCCGGCTTCGTGGGTGTTGCGCAAGGAAAAGGGGCCAAAGGAGGCAAGCGTGCCAGGGAATCCGGCGTGCAAGTCAATGGCCTCCAGATTGCCACCTTCTACAAGAAGGGTCAGGAGAAGCATCTTCTGCGCAATGACTTTTCCAAAGGCAAGTGCACTAGACTAAATTGCAGATTCGAACACAAATGTGGTGTGTGGCTGCCGGATTGGAGCATCTGCCTCTAGGATCGCACG